GAAACGTTGTGTTCTCTTTCTTCTTTTTTTCAGCATGGAATAAACCTATTACTTGTTCCTTTGCAGCCTACGCATGCTGACGCAGCTACCCACCTGTATGTATACTGTACTAGCAACATCATCAAATACAATTTTTACATTTGTTGAGACAGGGTGTTGTTACCATGTTGACACCAGAACTATAAATGACATACTGTGTAGTGTGTCACAGTCACAATACTATATAACACTAATACTGTCACACTCAGCAGTTTTTAAACTATTGATATCACATTTTGGCCAGCAGCCAAATTTGAGACCCTGCAGCTCTCAAATGGCTACCTACTGAAGTTAAGCAGGGTTGAACCAGGTCAGTACCCTCATGAGAGACATCCTGGAAAGCTATGGTTGCTGCTGGAAGTGGTGTTAATGGGTCTGTGTGGGTCCTAATGCCCTGGTATAGTGGCTGGGACACTACACTGTAGTGGGCGCCGTCTTTCGGATGAGACATTAAACCAAGGTTCTGATGCGAAATGGTCATTAAAGATCCCTGGGCATTTCTCGATAAGAGAAGGGAGTTATTTCCAGGCAAATTAACCCCCCTTGACCTTTACCGTGGCCTCTAAATTGTCCCCATGTATGATTGGCTTGCACTTGCCCTGCGATGGAGTAGCGCCCCATCCAGGGTGTACTCTGCCTTGCGCTCGTTGCTTGCCGTGTAGGCTCCGGCTTCCCAGGACACCATATGGTATAAAACGGTGTGGCACATGACATGACTTATCACATTTTGCTGTTTTCCTTATGGTAAATGTTTGCAAGATATAAACAGTTATACCACGTAAGTTTAATGATCATTTGGGAAAGCAGGGGTGCTAGTAATGGCAGACTGCAACAATGACGCAAATCAGTACTATACTGTTGTTGATGTACTGTACAGTACTGTTAGGATATCTGTGAATATGATCATGTTATTCTCATGTGTCGCACGTCAGGAATTGTAGTCTATTTGTTCATGCATTTGGCTCACGTGGCCGATGTTTTAAAACTATAGTACAGCACTTGGTGTGAAGGAAATACTTCCTGTTCCATCTTAAATAGACCATTTTAAAATAAAAAAAGAAGTTAGACTATCATCAATAATCTTTAATCTCCAAAAACAATGTGCTATGTTTGTGCTGGTTTTTGCCGTTAAAAGCAGCATTCATGCAGTTTTTGTTCCTGAGATATAGTGCCTTTTTTAGGGGTGTCAGTTTCCCATGAGTTGCACAGAGGAACTGCACTAATCCCTTTTATTAATGCTCCAATATTGCCAGTTTGTGCCATACAATAGTACAATTAAATCTATATCTTAATGTTGTCATATAATAACATATTTTGAGTTTGTGGTTCTGCTTCATGTGGTCTTTTGGTTATTTTGCATAAATACCTGTTAAACAGTAATTGAATCAGTGTATGAACTGACGATTGCGCATAAACAAATAAATTGTAAATGTTTTATTATAACATATAACATTATAACTTTTTATGAAGTATATAAACTTAATATAGTCAGAAGGAGCACATAATAACTTTTCCAAAATAACCATGGTATGTAACTAAATGAAAGACTGATATATGCACACCACTATACATACTATATCACTATTTCCAGCACCACAGCAAATCGAGCTGTTGTACTCTTTGGATACTTAACCACTGTGTACTGGGTGCTGTCATTGATACTATTAAAAGCTCTGAGTGCACTGTCTAAAACCATAAAATATGTTATTCTTCAATAATAGTAGTACTTCAGTACTTCAATAATATACTAAAACACACACCAGTATCTAAAGGAATCTTTAGGAACATTCTATCTTTAGAGAGAATAATCTAGATTTTCCTTGAAATGACCTTTCATTAAACTATCAACACATAAAAATACAAATAAAGTGGGTTATTGTGAGATGCATTTAAACTTACATAATCACCATCCAATGGCACCAAAATGTTCATTTCTGAAGACTTGGCACTCACAATCTCACAGTTCAAAGATTCTTCACTGAGGTACACGTGGCAGCCTTCTGTTTTGTTAATAGAAATTAATGGCACCTTCCCCATTACCTGTAGGATATAATGAATGAAAAAAACATAATCAATCTTTAAGGAAAATGTGGTATAGCATGTTGCTTTAATTCTCAAGTAGTATTTATACTGCTACTACCATTGAACTGCAAAATCCCAAGTTTGCACCTGGAGTTCGCTAAACATTACTGGAACTTTGATTGGAACCAGGTTCTATGGTCAAACTAGACAAAAATAGAGCCTTTTGGTAATAAACACCAGAGTTGGGTTTGGTGTAAAAAGAGTCAAGGTCATGCAGAAAAGAACCTAATACCCAATGTTAAGTACGGTAGTGGATCTGTGATGTTGTGGGGCTGTTTTTCTTTCAAAGGCCCTGGGAATCTTATTAAGATACATGGCATCATGGACTCTATCAAATAGATAGATAGATATAAACAAGCAATTTTATATCAAAATCTCGCTGCCTCTACCAGGAGGCTAAGACTGTGTTGTGGTTGGATCTTCCAGCAGGACAATGATCCAAAGCATACCCCCAAATCCACACAAAAAGGGTTCACTGACCACAGAATCAAGCTTCTGCAGTGCCATCCCAGTCCCCTGACCTAAGCCCCATTAAAAAACCATGGGGTGAGCTGAAGAGGAGTCCACAAGCAAGGACCAAGGACTCTGAAGGATCTGGAGAGATTTTGTATGAAGTAATGGTCTCAGATTCCTTTAAATGTGTTCTCCCACCTCATCCAGCATTATAAGAGAAGACTCAGTGCTGTTATCTTGGAAAAGGGAGGGTGCAAAAAGTACTAAATGCAGGGGTGCCAATAACTGTAACGTGTGAAATGGAAATGTAATGGGTAAATTGATTCTTGAAATGTAAAGAGCTTTAGAAAAATATATAACAAAGATGTAACTGCTGGGCTACGTGCAGGTTGTCAGAAGACAGTTTGTCAAGACGGGACGTACTGTCTAGATGACCAAATTAGCGAGTGTAACTGCTAAGCTTTGCAGAATATGTATTTCTATGCTGTAATCTTTCTTGTCCTAAGGAAAGGGGAAGTATTAGAAAAGTGCTGTATTTTTCCACTGCATACAACATCTTTATAAAAAGTTTGTCCTGCCTGTAGCAAGTTGAGTCTCTGGCACACTCTGCAGAGTGACAGCAGGGCTCCCAATATTGCAATATTGAAACAAAGACCTCACTCAGGTGAGAACTCTCTCTTGTGGCTTCCTTTACATATAGATTTCCATAACATGTGTTTTTGAGAAAAAGGTATATTTTCTCATATGAATTTTTTTTATTTGAATATTTTTACCACACTGAAAGTTTAGGTTTATCTCATATTTTCAGTGTAAGATCAAGCTTATAAACAACAAATACTTTTTTTTGCTCATCGTGACCAAGGGTGCCAATACTTCTGGGGGACACTGTATATGTTCTAAACACTGCATTTCCAAGCCTGGGTTTTATCACTGGCTAATTGTGACCAGGATTCCCCAAGCAGCAGCACACAAGTAGGTGTGTGCTATATTAAACTTATAAAGGGCTGAAACAGTTTACAAACAACATAACCAAAACAGCAGAATAAACATTTGCCTTCATCTTACATTTCTGCCATATTGTATATACAAAATGAACTATTTACACTATGTCAGCAGGTATGGAGGATCATGCAAAAAAAAACAACAATTGTCTGATAAGAAACACAACAAACAACAAAAACGTCTACACATAAATATCACTGCATATTTTCTCATAAACTAGAATCAGAGATAAATTGAATCCATGTTTCCCAGTATTTGCTAAACCTCTCTGCCTGCAATCTGAGAGAAAGTTATTTTTTTCCATTATGTAGATCTCATTCACAACATTAACCTATGTGTTGGAGGTTCTTTTATAAGCCATTTTCATGTAATTACTTTTTTACAAGCTGCTAGAAGAAGCCTTAATATATATCTATCCTTTAATTCAATATAAGTCGAAATTGTCCAAGTATATACAGTAACAGAAAATTCAAATGGTATATTCACAATTACTAAATTATTAAGAGTTAAATTTATAGATTTCCAGTTTTGGTGTATTTTTGGGTATGACCAAAATATGTTTGAATGTGTCACATCTTGCTCTCCACATAATCTCTAACAATCTTCCTTTTTGTTTGGCTTATATTTTAGGGCTGATAAACCTGGTCAAATTCTTCCAACAAACTCTCTCCAAGTCTGTGAACTTGTAGAGCCCTGTTGAAATCTACTCATATAGTTTCACTGATCCATAGAAATTGTTGTGTTGGTTTCTTTTTCCCATTTTGTTTTAATATATTCCGTTGAGTCTTTTTCATATATTCAATACTACTGTACCGCTTTGATATAATTTTTTTTCAATTTACCTTGCTGATATACAGCTACAGAGTTATCGAGCAATTTATTACTTTCTTTTTTACGTGGCTGCTTTCTCCAGCTATTTACAGTATATGTCTAATTTGAATATATTCATACAAATCTTCTTTTTCCAGATTATATTGTTGTGATAGATCTTCAAAGTTTTTCAGATGGTCTTGTTCCATCAAAGTACATAATCAGTTTTTTGTAGCCCAAATCTTAAACCTTGAGTGTCAGATTGTGTCAGATTTGTGCAATTTCCCAGAGGGGAAATCTCAGTCAGAAACTATCCATCTTAATAGTTTTACCTCTCTCTCCAAGTCACAGGTTTTTATTATCTTAAACCAAATTTTAACTGGTAAAGTTATCCAAGGTGTAGCCGTTTTATATATAATTTTTTGCCAAACATCTATCTTCCAGGACCGTCTGTATTGGGAATTCACCTATAATTAAATACTCCATCTCTTTCCTTTTTGCAGTATAATATCCATCACACCAACATATTAGTGTTCTATGGTGAGCTGCTTGGTAGTATGATAGGGCTAATCCACCCTTCTCCCTGGAAAACTGTAGTGTTTTAAACCTAATTCCTGGTTTCTTTCCATTCCATATGAATCTTTCATTCAAATCATGTATTCCCCTTCATTAAACTGTTCTGATGAAATTTCCACTGGAAGAGACTGAAAAAGATATAGTAATCGCGGCAGAATGTTCATTTTAATGACTTCTACTCTTGATCCCAATGAAAATGGTAGCAGACTCCAGCCAGCCTGATCATCTTTTATTTTACATATTAGAGGACTGAAATTAAATTTATGCCCTGATAGCAACCAAAAGATCCATCACTCTGACAAATGATTCATTGGGGTCATCCAAATATAGCAGGACATCATCTGCATACAATGCAATCTTATGTTTTTGTCCTTTAATTTCTATACCTTTAATTTTTGGGTCTTTTCTAATCCACTCTGCTAAGGGTTCTATATATAGAGAAAAAAGAGGTGTCAGGGGACATCCCTGTCTTGTACCTCTTTTCAAACAAAATCTCTTAGACAGATGTCCATTGATTTTGATTTGTGCTATAGGATTTAAATAAATTGTTTTTATTATGTTGATAAAATCGTCAGTAAATCCAA